CAAAGTCGAATTTCCTAATTACCACTGGACCATCATATATCTCTGCTAAGTCATTCATTGAAGTTGGTCCTTCTGTGTTCGCATGAATTACTAGTTTTTCTTCTGTTTAGGTTTGGTGGTGATCCTAACATAGTTACCATATTTGGTGTGTCCTCTGGGGGTGCCAGTGTTAATCATCTCATACTATCCCCAATGGCCAAAGGACTTTTTCACAATGCGATCATACAATCAGGTTTTTCTACTGCAATTTGGGCGTATACAACCTACAGCGAAGCACTTCAAGTTGCAAAGTGAGTTGGGATTCCCATATCACAAACTGCTGGTCTGCGGCTACGATTAAAAACGTTCGAAACGTTAGATTTTATCGGTTAACACATTAACCTCAATACAGTTTATATTTTAACGAGAGCCACTACGTGGAACTTACCGTGCGCAGTTCAATTAGGAGGGCATGGCGTACAGTCAGCACCAAAGCAGTTATCGATATGCGCTATATGATAAGATTTTGCGACTTTCAAGATTTTTCAAATTTATTTTGTCTTTAAGTTTAGAATACTGTTGGACGCATAGTAAGTGAATAATTGAAGATCCTTAAATTCTCTTCTGTCGTGTATATATTGTTTGCTTATACGAGTATAATATTTAATTTCGCTCAATTCTTATTCCTATAATGCTTGTCAATTTGCTTTCGAGAATAGTTGAGGTGACGTTTTTGGCACCATTTTGTTGTTTGGGTAGGCAAAGTCTCGGAAAATAACAAGGATACAGTGCAAAATCGATGTCAAATAATTCCAATTAAATTCCTATTCTGAAAATTATTAATTTCAAACGTTAGATACTACGAAAAGGAGTTACACTGGCAGTTTTGAAGGACTTAGTTGATCTAAGCGCGAGTAAACTCATTTTTAGTTTTCCATACATTTTTGTGTTATTTCCGGGTCATCGGCGTGCGTGAAAAAATTTCGAAAAGTATTGAGATCGGGTAATCTTCGAGTTACGCACTTCGAGTTACGCGCTTTTCGAGTTACGCGCTCGACCACGCCCAAATTTATCTCGGCCTCGTCCAGCGCAAAACTCGATGCAACTAACATAGCTTAGCGTCTTCGATTTACGCGCTTTTAAATCAAAATCAATATATTGACATGTTACATTATTATATTATTTAACGCACAAAGATATCTGTTCTCGACAATAATAATGGATGTGAATTGCGTGTTATCGGATTTTTTCTTATGCTTTTGAATGCATTTGGTTCGACGTATGAAATTGACTGTTTGGTTCGGCGCGCGACGGTAGCACGACGGGCCCAAGCCTCTCAAAATATCAACTCGTTTAAAGTTGACACTCAGAATCCAACCTCTCGTAAAGTTTGCTTTTTTTCATRTTCCAAATAGCCAAAATGTTCAGTAGTCTCGTCTCCTTGAACGACCGCCATCATACCATGTAGTTTTATCAGTGGGACATGCATGGACCTTTATATCTGATAAAACACTCCTTATTAGTTTCTTTATATAAAGAATACTAATAAGGGTGACCTTTATCAGATATAAAGGTCCATGACCCTAGCAAAGGTCTCAAGTTTGTTTTTTGTTGTTGTTTTTTTTTTTTGATGTTGTAAAATGTTAATTTAAAAATAAATCCTCAAACTCAAAGACCATTTCACAAGTTCACAGATTATTGACACAAGCTGACTGATTCTAAAGACATTGAGCCAGGCTACCAACAGGGAATAATCTTATTTTGTAATTTTCATATTTAAAGTCTCTATACTTCAGGAACATATTAAGAGGGTCTCAATACGGTTAATCGTGAGCCGTGAAACGTCTAAAAAATTAGCCGTTAGTCGTGAAAATGCGAAAAAATTAGCCGTGAGGCGTGAATATTATGTTATTTCGTGAGCCGTGATTCAGTTTTGTTCCTCAGAAGGACAGTCAACTCCGATGCAGGCGCGCGYTTGTAATTTTTTTTTGTAAATYTWTTTGTAMATGCTCTATTCGCAGAGTAGCTCATTTAGTGCATCGAAGACCTTAATTGAGCGGGAGCCTGCGTCACGCTAAGTGTGGCAAGAAACTAAAGCTGCTCGAAATAGAACGTTACAATATTGAATCGACATCTTTTTTTAGATTGCTAATAAAGTTATAAAAGATTTTTTAATTCTTAGATAGTATTTTTAGGATTTGTTTTGTACATTTTAAAACTCCCGCTCATTTAGTGCATCGAAGACCTTAATTGAGCGGGAGCCTTCGTCACGCTAAGTGCGACAAGAAGCCAAAGCTGCTCGAAATAGAACGTTATAATATGAATCGACATCTTNAAATACTATAATTTTGTTTAGGGTCAAATAATAATATTATGGCTTCGCTTTTTGGCAAATCAATTTATCAACAAGAATTATAGATAATCACTGTTACTTCTGTGAAAATTTGAGTGCAATGTAAACGATATTTGCGACGTAGTTGGAGTTTAAAAATACGCGCGAAGCGCTATTTATTACGATGGAAACACCTTAAGGTTTGGGTTGAGCCAAGTTTGCATAGAATATGTGTATTAAGAGCTTCTTGCCTTTTCTTTAGTAAGAGATGGTGATATTTTGACTTTTGTCGATGTTTAACCATGAATGCTAAAATTTTGATATGTTTTTACTTTAAGGGGAGTATCACGTGACTAGCTAGCTTGAATTTTAACTGCAAAATATTCGTTTCAAAATGGGGAGTGGAAATATTTTTCGGATCGTGATGTGTTATATTTYGTTTGGTTTCTATTRAAGRAKGSTTTTCAWTKTAGACTTTTTTCTTTGAATAAATGTATTATTAAATGAGTTATTAAGGATACAGGTCACGTGACCTAATTTGCATATTGATTTTTTGTAAATATTTTTTTAAATAATAAGAGAATACAACGAAAAAGGCTATTTCATATATGAACCAACATCAGCTTAATATCAAAGCATGTTTGAACTTCATTGATAAAGCCTCTATACTCCCCATTTTCGAAAAACCGTTGTTGATGCCTTAAAGTCACGTGACCAACAAAATGGCTCATTTGTCATATAAAACYCTTGTACACCAGAATCCTCAACATCTGTCAAAAATTTGGCTCTGTACTTATAAAGGTTATTGTGCTATCGAAGAATATAACATTACTCAGGTCAACATAATACCCAAGCCTTAAACTACCTGAGAGCGAATATGAATATCAGTAACCTCCGAGACCAAAAAATACATTGGACATCAAAATAATCGATTAACATGASAGCGTAAGTAAAATTCGTGAAAACACACACAAACACATTTTTATTTTGGTTTGATCTGACTTTTTAACGAACTAGCGAAGTCTGAATATTTCAACAAAACCATTTCTGTAGACATTGCAGCGTCAAACAAACTTTGCACGCAAGTCATGAGTGAYACGAAGCTACTTGCTATGCACTGATCAATATCGCATGAATTGGTAATATTATAATATTTTTTAAGGGCTATCAGTAGAGATGCCGGGTGTGATAACATGATGTTTGCAGACTGCATGAAGAAAAAGGGTGTCCAAGAAATAGTTGACATTGTGACCAAATCACTTGCAACTGGCTGGYTCTTTCCCCCTGTTGTTGGTGGATCATTCCTACCTGCTGGTATAGTGATAAATATAATTCAGCCCTATTCGATTCATCTATTTCTTTAAAGGGTTATTCATTGACAATCTGTTTTACGTTCAATCCAATGTTTTCCTTGAGCAGACTCTCCCGAAGCTTTGTATGACAGCGCGGAGTTCGACGTGAAAGTCATGATTGGTTTTGGTAACGATGAAGGAACTGTCCTTACTAACGCAGTTAAAGGTATGAAAAATGTAGACCACTCTTGCATTTTTAGTACATATTTTTGATTTCAGTCTCTTGAGAGAATAGACTACGGGCAATGTTAAAGGCCAAATGGGCACGCCCTAATCAAGGAAATTATTTTAAGCCTTTTAGGTCATTTTACTGATCATGAGTTTGCTTTATCAGGTGCAGGATCTGATTATTTCAACGTCACYAATGGCTTCGAAAGATCGGAATTTATATCTGTGCTTCACGAACAAAAGCACAAATTTGTACGMGGTCAAAACGAAGTGATAAATGAAGCTATACTTTACCGCTACACAGATTGGAACCACGTGACAGATCGCTATAAAAACCGTCGAATGTTTGTTGATATGGTCAGCGATTCTATGTTTGTTGCACCTGCAATTGAGACTGCTAGAGAGTTGGCCAACAATTCTGTAATAACATACATGTATCAYTTGGAGCATCGCTTGAAAACATTTTACTTCAGACATGTTCCATCTTGGGTCGGTGCATTCCATGCAGCTGAACTCCCAATTTTGTTTGGCCAGCCCTTCTGGYGTAGTATATCCGGAGTGAATACGAGGGAAGGAAACTATAGCCGTGCAGTGATWAGACTCTGGACCAACTTTGCTAAAACAGGGTAAGTGTGTGTAAAAATAGTGACGTATACAGGACACAGGGGCGGCGGATCCAGGATTTTATTTAAGAGGAGGGCACTAAAATGGCGCGAACTTTTGTCAGGAAAGTYGCATGACTGACAGGGCCATAGCCAGAGTGAACAGATAATCGAGGTAAGCGACCGGCGGGATGAACCAGGGGGATCAATTCTCCTCTGAGAAAATTTGAAATTCAGTCTCTCGGAAATGCGATTTGCTGCGCTTTGTGGGCTTTTTGGTAACTCTTTATTGAACAGATTTAACCGGAATTTATCATGCAATATTTCATTCAATTTACCTTTTTCCTTTGAATGCAAGGTCGATTCTTCTGTGGCCACTTGCGTCCCAGCGCTCCAAAATGTTAAGAGGCTCTAAGTATAGTTATGCACGTATGCTAATGAAGGGCAATTCAGTCGACCATAGATGACCGGGATCATGTCTACAACCTGCGTAACGAGCTAAAACTACGTTCACACGAGCAGCTTCCGACAGGCTGAGAATAATTTGCATAGAACAGTTGAGATGTTTGGATAAAGAGTGCTGTCGCATGATCAAAACAGACTCTATGAGTGAACTGACGCCCTTGTTGCGCTTAWGGACAGTCACGATCACGGCAAAAATTTCGAATATTTTAAAAAGATTAATATTATTTTTATATTTTTGCACAAAAYCAGTCGTACGAAATGCGGCTGTGAGAGGCTATAAAGATGATATCAGTGATGAAAACCAGAGCATCGGCGAGTGCCTCGGTTGGCCTCGTACTAGCTACGGCCCTGCTGATTAGTTTGGAGAACGTATCAAATATAAATCTCCCACTAAAATTAGCGAATTAATTAGGAAACTAGCTAATTCACTTGTTATTTTTCAATTTAGAACATTTATTCAAAAAAAACATGTATGAGGATTTAATTTTTTCCCGAAAAAGGGGGAGGCACTGCCCCCMAGGCCCCTMCCCTAAATCCGCCACTGCGGACATAGAGGCAGTGTTTCATATTAAACGKCGAATACCAATTTTGGGTAGATGGGTGMGTTGGAAGAGGAAAAAAATAATTATGCATKTYTAATTTGTTGACAACAGGAATCCCAATAAACCTGCCGACATCGGTCTAGTGTGGCCACAGTACGACTTAAAACTACAACAGTTCATGGCTCTTAAACCTGACATGGCTGTAAAAGCTAAACTACGAAACGATTACGTGGCTTTCTGGAAAAGCTTTGTACCAGCCGCCCTTCAGTCCATGTCCACACGAACATGCGAACATACGTAGAG